AGTCATTGAGAATAAATAGACATACAAATATATACGTCTGATGCAATACTTTGATAAAGTTAAATCGATTAGCTAAATAATATCGAATGATTGCAAGCGTGACTAAAATATCGATTTGGTCGAGCGCATGTTTATTATACCGAAGGCTAGTGCGGTGCATCTTCGTAGAATAGACGAACGTAATACTTTAAAATATTAAGCAATTTGTGTGTTATTTCTTGCACTTTAGAATCTAGAACTGTAATTTTGTTTTTGTTAATTGTTTTTAATAAATTTTGATCGTGGTAAGTTCACAAATAATGTTATTTGGTAGAGCCATCAACAGTTTAAGTCGTGTATTTCCAATATTGAACTTTAGAAAGTTGTAGTCTGATCATGTTTAAAATCTATTTAAGCATAAACTTGATGAGATCAGAAGGACGTCAAGTGCAAATAATGTGAACGAACTTTGCAACCGGCTTTATTTCGTTTGAATCATCGCTCGATACCTTTACCCGGCTTTGTTATTTTACCAACAAGACGGCACGCTGGAACTGCATTGTTTAAGTTTTTATCGGTGCATTCATAACCAAAATCGGCGCGTGTAGTTATTGTTGCGATGAATAAGAAATATATCCGGCTTGAAGGATGAGTTGTAATAAAAGAAGCTGTGATGAAATTATATCCGTGTCTGATATAAGCTTGAGCAAACACATAATAAACATATATACGAATGTGGAACAGAGATTTGTACTTTTATGCTTAGTCTGATCAAGAAGGAGTCTATGATGGAAGGGAACATTTACTGTATCCATGTCTTTGTTGGTTATGGTCTAACATAAGTACATTAAATTTTGGAATAATCCTGCATATTCTCTTATTAACAAAATCATTAAAACAGTAGCAAAAAGCGCACCGCGTGCTAAAAGTGCACGCTCGGCTGAGCGGCCATATTGTTTTAAACAGCTGTTCTATTCAACATGCAATGCAAACACCTTGCTAGTTTTTCGGTCCAATAAATTAACTCGGTATTACACAGGTCAGGAAATTGTTTATTAAATATTTATAGTACCCGGTTTTAAAGAATGAAATAATGAACATACGAGTACTTTATAAAGTTAAGAAATATTTGCAATTTTTACTATGACCTATATGTGCGTATAGAAAATAAAACTTTTTTAAATGCTTCTAAACTGAGGTCGGCAGCTACACTAGTTACGTATAAACAAAGTTTTAGTAAATTTTAGTTTAATCCTAGTCAACTTTTCTCATTCCGGAGGATAAAAAACTTTTGGTAGCAACGATTTTACAGGATGTTCTAAAATACCAAAGCATAGTAGATAGAATACAATTTCCAAACACTCTATGTATTATAATAATCCGGACATACTACGTAAATAAAACTAAGCTCTGTTTCTGTGTTGCCGTAAAATTTTACTACAGTAAAATAAAGTGCTGTCTTTGTTTTTCCAAAGACAATGAGAGGCATAACAAATGTTTTGATAGAACTGTTACGCACAATAGAACGCACAAGTAAGATAATAAAAGATTGCGTTAATGCGTGACGCCACTGCACTATATAGCCGCAAACGTCCTTTTACAGTAAAGTTGCGTTAAAATCAAACATCGCTTTCACATTCACTATGTGACGGCCAAATACTATTATGGAAAACTCGCTTTTATCGACAACCAATAAGGATTGTTTTTCTTTGTGGTAGGCTACACAATAAAGGCAATTACAACGTGACGTGCAAGGTTAAGCAGACATATCCGTGTGATGTGCATTATAGCGCACATTACGCTTTAGATAATTACTTGCGTAATTGCTGTGATAAAATGAAAACCTAACATCGAAATTTGAAATTACGTATAACATTCGAAGCTTTGATAATTGTAAAATTATTTGTTTTTATATCAAATGGTGGCTACCTGAAATCGTGTAATAGCGAAGCAATCATTGCCCATAGATATACGCAATTGCATATGCGTTGCCTACCTTAAATCAACGGAGGAGGGAATGCACAGAAAGAAAATATTTTCCCTTCCCATGCATACCATCATCCGGAAAGTCCAGTTCTAGTTTCCATGCTTTCCTTATAAGAAAAAGGGTCTGAAGGGAAAGAGGACTAAAATTAGGTATCCCGGTTAACTCCTATTAAACCAACAGCCACAAAAGTCGACAACTATACCTTAGCAGTATTCCATTTATGAGCTTTGGTGACAACGATTGTATGAACAAAACGTAGTTTCATTTTTCCCAAAGAGTATGAAAAGGATGAAAGTAATTTTTATATCAATGTTTAGACTAGACAGAGACAACGTAAACTACAAATGGAATAGACAAAAGGTCTGGCCGTATTCAGTGACTCATATAAAACCTCATTTATATGTTAATGCTATTCTAACCAATTAACTAGTTGTATTGCACGAGGACATAAAACGTATTCGTAAAAGCATCGTATTCCGCATTTTTGATGCTATGTGCAGTAAAAGGAAGGTCAGGATAATCTTTTTTATGTTTTTACAGTATCTTTTGATATTGAAACAGCATTTCCTAGATTCTCTGATTGCAAAGTTTCAATATTTCCCAAAGTAACTGTTGTTTTAAAATTAGAAAAAAAAATAGCAAAACAACGAAAAAGGCCTTAGTTCTTTAATTTTTACACTCTTATAAGGGATGAGAAAGTTTTCTTTTATTATCTTTTTTAATTGAATCTTTTAAAGTTCTATCAGGATAAATTTCATTCTATCAAAACCAATATTTATTTTGAAACCTAACGCAGTTTTTATACAAAATTTAAATTCAATATAATCAGTAACTTTACAACAGCTTTAAATATTTGGTTACACCAATGTATTAATACTGTAACAAATTAATTATTAAGTACAATTTAATTGAGATTCTTTATCTGTACTGTTCACACTCCTACGAAACTGTGTCCGGTATTTGGACGACCCAATCCAACCACCAACCAAACGAAAACGACCGAACACTACAAAACACAAGCGACCTCAAGAACACAGAAAACCACCGAAAAAGACACCGAAGAAATCGCGACATGCAAGGAGTATATGTATAGCAAGAAAAACACATCAACATCGTTATTTAATAAACATGCAGCGCCATCTGTTGTGTAGTAGCGGAAAGGGCGCCAACATTCCGCCCACCAAGAACCTTGTTCTTTCCGCCCACCATGAGGTTCTAAGCGTCTTCATGTAATGTAATATCTCTAGGTAACAAAATAAGTTTACTGATCGGCCGTGTTAAAACAGATGATTTGCATTTCAATTTAACCACCCTAACAGTTTTGTCAGCTCCGGGAACAAGTTCTAGAATTCGCGCCAATAACCATTTGGCAGGAGGTAAGTCGCTTTCTTTTATAATCACTAATTGACCAACATCTGGACACATCGAAGATTGTTGCCACTTTTGTCTCCTTTGTAATCCTTGCAGATACTCTGTTGACCAGCGTTTCCAAAAGTGTTGCGTCATTTTTTGTACTAAGGTCCATCTGTCTAAAGCACTTACTCTTATGCTCTCATAGTCTGGTTCAGGAATTATCATAGTTGGCTCACCAATAAGGAAATGAGCTGGCGTTAGTGGAAACAAATCGTCCGGATCATCATTAAGTTGACAGAGGGGTCTAGAGTTTAAGCACGCTTCGACCTGTGATAGCAATGTAGTCATCTCTTCAAATGTCAACGTTGAGTTTCCAACGACCTTTACCAGGTGTGTTTTGGCACTTTTAACCGCAGCCTCCCAAAGACCGCCAAAATTGGGTGCTCTAGGTGGAATAAAATGCCAGATAGTGCCTTCATTAGCTAATAAATCAACTATATCTTTCAAACCACTTGAACAACAAAGATTGGCGTTATCCTTTAACTCCTTTGCGGCCCCTACGAAGTTTAATCCATTGTCACTCCAAACATCTGAACAATGTCCCCTTCTGGATGTGAATCTCTTGAAAGCCGCAATGAAGCCTTTACTGGTAAGATCACTCACAACTTCAAGATGTACTGCTTTTGTTTTCATGCAAATAAAAAGACAAATGTATCCCTTATATGATTTGTGGCCTCTACCCTTAGCGGTACGCAACTGTATTGGACCAGCGAAGTCGACTCCTGATGTCTTAAACGGTCTGCCAGGTGTGATACGAACAGAAGGAAGTTCACCCATCTTTGGCTGTAGAGTTACACCTTTATATCTCACACAAACCACGCATTCTCTTACACATTTCTTCACTAACGGTTTTAGTCCTATAATCCAATATTGGTTTTGCAAGAAATTTGTCATTAATCTATTTCCACCATGAAGCAATTTTATATGAGCGTCCCTGATAACCAGAGTAGTTAGGTGATTGTTTTTGGGTAATAATATAGGATGTTTTATTTCTGAATGTATCGTAGCTCCTTGTAATCGTCCTCCGACTCTAAGTATTTGATTCTCATCTAAGTAAGGAGATAGTGTTCTTAATTTTCTTCACCATACCGTTCTGTTCTAAGTCCTTTATTTCTTCCGTAAATTCTTGTTTTTGAGCTATTTTTATACACATTTGCATTGTTTCATTTAATTCTTTAGTAGTAAGGTAATCGGTGTACCCCTTTTCAGGTTTCAAAAGGAGGAATCGTCTACAATAGGTAAGTACTCTTTTCATTTTATTTAAGGTTGAAAATCGTTCATATATAGGTTTTTCTTCTAGTTCGCATAAAAAGGTATTAACCCTCTGTTTTCTTTCTTCTAATGTTGTAGAATATGATGTGTATGTTTGTTTATCTTTAAGTTTTTCTTTCAGCCAGGTTGGGCCTTGCCACCACAGTGTTGAAGCAACTAGATCATCAGCTTGTATACCCCTCGAAGCTAGATCTGCGGGATTGTCCTTTGAAGAAACAAACCGCCAAGCAGAATTGTCTAATAAGGTCTGTATTTCAGCAACTCGATTGGCTACAAAGGTTTGCCATTTTATAGGTTGTCCTTCTATCCAAGCTAATGTAACCGTAGAATCAGTATATGCAAAAACCTGCCCTATTGGAATATTCAAATTGATTGCAGCTTGATAAAGCAACTTAGCCAGAAGAAGAGCCCCGCATAACTCCAAACGTGCAACAGAAATTTGCTTCAGAGGTGCAACCTTAGTTTTGCTTTCCAAGAGCGTTATTTTAGGATTGCCATCCTCATCTATCGCCTTGACGTAGACAACAGCAGCATAGGCTGCCGTGGAAGCATCGGCAAACCCATGAAGTTCAACGTTAGTTCTAGTTTGGTAAGTATTAATCCAACGATCTAATTTAATATCTTGTAGCTTAATCAACCCCTTTCTATAAACGCTCCATTCAGATATTACATTAAGTGGTAAGGGATCGTCCCATTCGATTGACATCAGCCATAATCTTTGTAAAAATATCTTTGCAGTTACTATTACCGGAGCAAGCCATCCAAATGGATCGAACAAACGTGCGATATCTGATAGTATTTTGCGTTTGGTTATTCGATCTTCAATGGGCGGTAAATTAACGGAAAATGTAAATATATCTAATTTTCTATCCCACACCAATCCTAATATTTTTATAATCTCATCAAATTTAATTTCATATGTTTCCTTTAGTTCCGATTTGTTTTCACTAATTTTAGCCAATAACTCGTTTGAATTACTACACCATTTTCTTAATTCGAACCCTCCAGATTTTAGTAATGCATTCATTTCATTATAAATCTTGATACCGTCATCAACACTGTAACAACCCGTAAGTAAGTCATCCATGTAAAAAGATGTTTTTGTGATTTCAGCTGCTAACGGAAATTCATTAACTCCATCTTCGGCCGTCTGCAGAAGTGTACGTACTGCCAGATAAGGAGCAGCGGCCGTTCCAAAGGTAACAGTTAGGAGTCTGTACGACTTTAACTCTTCATCTGGATTATCTCTCCAAATAATTCTTTGATAATCCGTATGTTCTTCAGCGACACGAACTTGTCTGTACATCTTAACTAAATCACCGGCCAGAACGATTGTGTACTGTCTCCATTGCAATATTAATGTACGCAAATCCCGTTGTAACGTAGGACCAATAAGTAATGTATCGTTCAACGAACATCCCCTTGAACCCTTTGCCGAAGCGTCGAAGACTATTCTTGTTTTAGTTGTGTCTTTATCATTTCGAATAACAGCATGATGGGGTAAGTAAATTGATTGTTTTGTATCGGTATTGGCTAGCTCCATATGACCCAACTCTAAATATTCATGTATAACTTTGGAATATTCTTGTTTTAATGTATTATCACGTTTAAACCTTCTCTCTAGCTGTAAAAATCGAGATATTGCTATTTCTCTTGTCTCTCCGCATCTTTCAACTGGATTTTCACAGCCTTCCTTAAAAGGAAGATAGACCTTGTATTTGTTATCTTTTGTTTTGACTGTTGTATTTTTGTATAATTTCTCACATTGTATTTCTTCCTTAGTATGCTTTCGAACCGAAATATTTGTATCGTTTTCTATTTCCCAAAATCTTCGAAGTAGTTTGTTATCACAATCACATACATGCATATTTATAACTATTTTAGGTAGTGTTCCAGAAAACGTCCCTGACAAAATCCATCCTAGCCTTGTTTTTTGGGCAATGGCCCCTGTTGAGTTTCTCAGTAACCCGTCCTCAATTATTTGGGCATAAGCCTCAGCCCCCAGTAAAATATCAATGTTGTTCGGCATATTGAATTCGGGATCTGCAAGAGCGATTGACTCTAGTTCAGGCCAGTCGGTGACTGTACACTTATAGGTTGGTAAATAATTTGTTATTTTCTTTAACACATAGGCCTTTATAAACATAGTGAATTGTGGGTCAATCCGAGAGCGTAATTCCAACTCGACTACATACTTGGTACGTAGTTTGCTCCCGTTACTAAGTCCAGTAACCTCACCGTTGACTTTTACTCTCTTAAGACCTGCTGATTGAACGAGATCCTCAGTGACGAATGAGGCTTGAGACCCCTGGTCAAGCAGAGCACGGTAAATGTGTGTGTAACCATTCTTCCAAGATACATCCACCAGTGCTGTTGCCAGCAAGACTTGACCAGGTTGACTTACAAAATGCGTGGCGATGTCTTTGTGTAAAACGTTGTCTATATCCTCCTTAGGTGGTTGTTCTTCTGTTCTAGATTCAATCTTGCCCGGATGTAGCAAAGAATGGTGTTTCCTTTTACATATATTACAACTTGTACTTCTCAAGCATAACTTGGCACAGTGATTAGGAATTAAGCAATTGAAACATAAGTTATTGGACTTTACAAACTCAGTTTTTTGTTTAAGGCTTTGTCTCACAAAATCTTTACATTGAAAAATGTAATGATCGCCACTACAAAAGGTACATTTGAGCGATGATACAGAAGCGGTTGCGTGAAAAGATTTGGACTTATGTGGCTTTGTTTGATCTTCTATCATCTCTAATGATTTGAATCGGACTTCAAGAAATTGTGACAATTGTTGGAATGTCGGCATATCATCGTTTTCTGAGGAAATGTGCTGCTCCCACAATCGGTAACTGGTAGGATCTAGCTTTGTAACTGTAATGTATACTATTATGTCGTCCCAGGTTTCTGTCTTTATACCAATGTTTTTTAAAGAACTAAGACACTCAGATGTAGTATCCAGCAACTGTTTCAGAAGGTGACCAGATTCGTGGGTAAGTGATTTAAGTCCAAATAATCTTTTGAATATGTAATTCGTAATGTATCTTTTGTTATTAAATCTTTTAAACAGTGTATCCCATGCATGTGTGTAATTTTCGTTCGTTATAGTTATGCTCCGCAATAATTGTGCGGCCTCTCCGCTTACTAAGGACTTCAGGTAATGTAATTTCTGCACTTCGTCTAAACTACTATTTTTGTGAATTATTGAAGTAAACAAATCCCTAAATGACGGCCATTCCGTGTAATTTCCCGAGAATGTTGGAATTTGAATCGTAGGTAGCCTAATATCTGTATTAGCACTAGCTCGACTCGGAGTAAGTGTATCACCTGCTGTAGTTTCTTTAACCAACTCACGTAGTTTTCCTTTTAATGATGATTTATAGTTGGTATAAAGTTCCTCTAATTGTTCACTTTTGTCGTGACTAAAATATTCTAATTCACTTCTCTGACCACGAAGAACTAGACCCAATATTTCTTCATGACCCTTAGTAAATGAACAATATATTTTTTCTAAAGTTTCTAGACGAGTTTCTATGTAACTTTGTGTCACTCGAGACTTAGGTGATTTTAGGTAATTGTTTTGGGCTTTCTGGACTTGTTCAATCCTGTCTTCTTGCAAGTTAATTAACCTTTTAACCTGCTCCATTACTACCACTCAAACAAGACCCGACAAACAAATACCAAACTACTGGACTGTGCAGAAACCCAAAACGAATTACTTTACCGCGATTGACAAGCCAGCCAAGTCTTAAACGACACACGCTCGGCTGTCACTAAATCTCTGTGAACACGGGCTTATTAACACACAAAACCGCCCGGAACCCTACAAGTCCAACTTTGACTTGATACACTAAGTCCGAGAATTCGGCAATCGAAGGACCATTTGTTCACACTCCTACGAAACTGTGTCCGGTATTTGGACGACCCAATCCAACCACCAACCAAACGAAAACGACCGAACACTACAAAACACAAGCGACCTCAAGAACACAGAAAACCACCGAAAAAGACACCGAAGAAATCGCGACATGCAAGGAGTATATGTATAGCAAGAAAAACACATCAACATCGTTATTTAATAAACATGCAGCGCCATCTGTTGTGTAGTAGCGGAAAGGGCGCCAACATGTACTGTTATCGTGGTGATTGTAATATGGACCTTGTATTATTGAGCTATAAACAAGCCGTCACAAATTAACGCGACATTGACAGACCGGTCGAGGACAAACCTAACGACCCTATAAAATGTCAATTA